AAGAGACCAGATCCAGATGCACCGAGATGGTCTTCACACTGAGGCGTCGATGGACATCCTGATGTCTTTTTACCTACTCTGGTTCCAAATGCTACCGAGGATTATCCACTGCCTCTTCTTCTGTTGTGATGTAAGATGGCAACGTTAGCAAAGATTCAAAAAATTGGTTGTTTTATACGATTAACCTCTTTCCCGAACGGTTTGGTTACCCGAGTTCGCCACTACCGTGGCACAACCACTTTGTAGTATTGACCAACCGTCTTTGGCAGATTACTGAAGATAGACTGCATTACCATCAAAAGATGCGCTTGACTTTTAGTTTCCTGGTGGATGCCTTGATTGAAAAATATACTTACACCTGTTCCAATTTTCTTAGGACAGCACCCGATGGAGCCTGTCACCCGTTACATTCATTTGATTAACTGCCACCCGAAACGTTTCTCGCACAACTTTAGCCAAACTACTAACCTCGGAGTCACACTTTAGAGCCAATTTTTTAGAACCTTCACGCACATCGTAAGGCACTTTCGTCCCGACAGGTCAGTTCTGTGTGCTATTTCAGGCTTTGTGGGCATGCGTTTCGTGAGCGGAATATAGCGTACGCCATGTGAGAACAGCAATCAATGTGCTAAATTGCAACGCACCAAAGCTTGCCCAACAAAACCACTTCTCACGAACTCGCTCATCTGAAGGATATTACTTTAGAGGAGCTTGTTTTTAATCACTAGTGTGGAAACCTATCGTTTCCAAACGCCTTAGTTTATTGATTGCACCATACAAATCTTGGTGTGCTCTGTTTTGTCTGTAACGGCCATTCGATGCAGATGGAGTGTAAGTTACCTGAATTAGCGTAGGCTTCGCCAATCAATTGTGACTTGAAAACAGGTCGATGGCCCGTTTCCGTCGTACGTGAGATGTGCACACTTATGCACACGCAAAAATTCGGTGGCATGGCGACAATGTGAAGTCTGTGTGGGGCGTACCACACGATCCCAGCCTCCGCATACCCAGGTTATGCGCGCACACGCCAGCTGCTGTTGTCCGGCTTCGTCCGCTAGTCCTTTTCGCCACCACCCTTATGGATTCGCTCTGCCTGACGCAGTAGACAGGCTCCGGAACCAATCAACGATGAGCGCGTGAGGTCTGTATCCGCTACGTTTACTGATTGGTTGATTCGATCAGGCTAGGAACAGCGGATTTGGTCGACAAGCTGGTGAGTTTAAGGTAAAATGATGGCACAGACGGTTGTCTGGATCCACAATCACATCGACACAGACATTACGTGCTTCGTGAGATCTATCAACTGTGCATTGGTGTTGCGAATTGGGAGGTAGTTCGTTGTGTGGTTTGCACTGCTGACCGACTTCGGCAAAACCATACAACCGACTAGCTTACTCATTGCGCAACATTGGACCTCAACATCTCCTCTGTCTGATCATCACCTTTCTACATGGAACTAATGTAGCTAGGTAAGCAGAGTGAATCAATACGAATTTGTCTGATGATATACCTATCATTACTATTTGTTTAGTTGAAAATGACCGATCATCAACAACTAGTGTAAGCCCCAACGCAATAAAGACTATAAAGGTTGTTTCTTTAAGAGCTGCTAAAAACACGGCAGATCATAAGACTTGTCATTTATATTGTTGAATCAGGTTTGTCCAAACGTAGTAGCAAGATATCGATGGGTGAGTGACAAATCCAGGATAGATGAGGCTTAGTGATCCGACTGGAATAAGTGAAGAGGACCAATAATGATTTGCGATTGACTTCTGTTGAATAAGAGACCAATCTGACATGACCAAAGACTATCTATGTGTGGTGAGCGAATATAAAAATTCAGTGTTCTGACGAACACAAGGGATTGTTGGATGTGAATAGTACTCGTAATGCCATCTCAGCGCTCTTTTCTCCACAATTTCTGAAGTATGGAGACTAAGATTAGTAGTAAACTGTTTCAGAGGGGTTTGGTAAACAATCGATGGATTTGTTGCTGGGCCACGTTTCGCTTTTGACACAAAAGCTTCGTCAGGCCAAGTGAGTAAGTAAGTAGGTTGATTGGGTTTTAAAGCAGCCAGGGAAACAATCCGTGAGATTCCTTATGACTAGTGACTTGATCAGTGCTGGGTGTTCAGTCTATTGTTCCTGTTTGTTGATTAGCGGGGATGACTAAGATTTACGATAGATTGGTTAGGGGGGATTCGTCTTTATGATTAACCCGGATTTTTCGTCCTTGCTTTTTCAGCCTAGGACACCTTAATGGAAAATTCCTCTTGGGGTCGTTCGCAGATTTCGTTCACCTGTGTGGTGCTGGTGACAATTTGTTTGGGTTTGGAGGCTGGGAGTAGTTAGTTGGGTCTTACTCTGCTTGAATTTTGTACTTTTAGACCCTGGCCATTTTGTCGATAACCGCACACCACCGCATGTCATCTCGGCTGATCGAAAACCGCCCTCCATGGGCTTGCCAGTTGTACGCCCTCTATTCTATTCACGCTGGGAGGCTTGGCGATTTCCACCGCCTCAGTCACCAGTTGCTGTGGTGTGAAACTCAACATCTGTCTCGAAATGTCCACATTTTCCAAATCTGTCCTGTGCCCAGTGTCTGGTGCATGCTCTGCCATTGACGAATCTTCGACTGTCGCCTTATATTCATCTGTTTCTCGGTGGTCTGTTAACGGAACGCTTATGGTCACCGATTCTGGTGTGCAACCTGGCTGTCTGACCTATATAGACCTTCGTACGATGACTTCCCAATCGGTCTTAAACATTTTCCAATTGATAGTAATAAACCGGTTCTGAACTTTGACACACCTGGATCCATTTATTGCAAGCAATGTGGACCAGGGAGGCGCCGAAAGTTGCCAGAACCATTTTCAGTAAGTTTGTAGGATGTGTTAGAAAATCACTTTGTATACATACTGAATGAAAAACAGGACCTTCTGCACGAGCTTCGTGTCCTCATATTACGAAATAAAAAACACCGCTCGTAGGGCTGTGCGATCCCGTACTGTACTGTGTTGCAAGGTTTTGGCGCTCAGCTGATGTCGTGAGAACAGAATGAATCGATGTTCTGAAATGCTCGCGAACTGGACAACCGAAGTTCCGTTTTATACACTCATTTGCACGTCATCATCATCAGCAGAACCTGTAAGAACCGTGTACTACTTGACACCGCTCGTAGGGCTGTGCGATCCCGTACTGTACTGTGTTGCAAGGTTTTGGCGCTCAGCTGATGTCGTGAGAACAGAATGAATCGATGTTCTGAAATGCTCGCGAACTGGACAACCGAAGTTCCGTTTTATACACTCATTTGCACGTCATCATCATCAGCAGAACCTGTAAGAACTGTGTACTACTTGTACAGTGGTTCTAGCTGCCACAGTCTCGTTCACAGATGACTTTGGGAGATTGGGTGCGTAGCTGCGTATAGATGGCAGTAGCTGATTTAATTAATGCATAAATACAGGGATGTCAATGGACTTTTAATTGGAGAGATTGGGAGGGGAGTTATGCGTTTAATGCAAGAATTTGAATGCACGGATACCCATGAGGGCGCGACTTTGCCATGTCTGACAATGTCTCAAACCCCTGATGTGTCTCGTCTCGGGGTCCCCATCCAGGAAGAAGGCAATGACCAGCATAACTGAATTTGCTGGTAATAGCTTCCATACTTCGCTCCCAAGTTATTGTTTGACTTCCTGTGACTCGTTTCTAGCATCTATGTGGCTCTGTGAGAAGAGCCCTTCGAGGAATTCGGTTGACTGGCATACGAAGCACGTGACCGGGCCAGCGCAGCCTATGGAGTGTAATAACTTTATATATCGTGAACATACACAGCCGGGATCCAGTTGAATGTCCCGTGTAGTTCGCGAATTATGTTCAATTTGGGTTGAAGTAGAACAGAATGTTGACGGAAACTCGGGGGCTGCACCTACCTGACAAGCTCCAGGAATATTAAAGGTGGTCGTGGGCTGCCAAGCAGTACGATGGATTATTGTCGTGACGTGATATTTCAATTTTGTTTCAGTTCACATTCTTTCCTATTCAAGAGGATAACTTCCCCACCAGAAAATCCTTCGCTTTGACCTGTTTGGGATAGCAAGTGCTGTCATGTAGTTTTGCTGCGGTAGTTTTCCTTTTTTCGTTGGTTGCTTTTGATAGTTATATAGAAGGAAAACACACTTCTGAAAACTGTCTGAAAGTCCACGGCCGATTTTGCCCTTATTATGGGGAAGATTCAACGGTGACTCAGCTTTGTCTCTCGTTAAAGCCGATATTATATACGAGTGAGTATTTCGTTAACCAGGAAGCTGTACTTTTGATACAAGTATTTACATGTCATTTGCATATCACTTCCCCAGAGTGAAAATTTCGGCGACATTCCTACTCAAAATGCAGGCTTGCTGAGCTGTTCTCAGGACCAGAGTACAGCGTACATGACTACAGGGAATCATACCAAATAAGTCAAATTAATTAAAGAAATTCATGTTGCACTTCATCCAAAGTTTCCATAGCTCAGTCGTTGAGGCGCGGAATTGCTAACCTGAAGATTCATGGCATCTCGACTGCTTTTGTCCAGGCTTGAACAGCCTAGATGAATCTCAGCCCCCGGTAGCGTGACAGCTGAGTACCGAAAGGGTGTTACTTGAACTCACGCACGCATAGGACTTAAATCGAATGGATCAGTGCCCTGCTACTCAATGCCTTCCACCAAATCCAGTGAAAGATTTTCTCTCTAGCAAGCTTGTGCGACTCTTTCCACACGCCAGAACGACAACGTGTGAAAGCCTACGGCTAGGCTAATTCTTGTTGTGTCGGCGGTCTCAGAACCTAGTGTAGTGTGGAAACAACACTGCTCCAATGTCTGGCTTAGATAGGTACGTCGCGTCAGAAGCGTAGACACATCAAAGGTGGGAAGTAGACCATATCAAGCTATACCTCTACTCAAATATAGGGAGCTGTCGAAGAGTTTTCAGCAAACTTGTGAGTAGTTTCCTTCATGAAAATATACTGCGATGTCTCGAATATCGTGCCAACTGAAACATGAGGCGGCTTGTGTGCAGCACATTCAGCCGTAGAATATCATAAACGAGGGATTCAATAGAGTCTCTCGTGAAAACCAAATTGCTTTACAAATGAGTGTTTTTCGAAAACAGTGCAATCTGGGTTCAAGTATATCAAGGTTGACAAAAACTCGGGGACTGCGCCTACCTGATGAGCCCCAAGAAGGGCGAAACCGGCCGTGGGCTGTCGAAGACTTTTCAGCAAACTTGTGCGTAATTTTCTTCGGGAGGATCGAACTATTTCAATGGATGTAACTTGCATTCGGATGTCGGTTGTGAACACTAACGGGAGAAATCTGATTGGACCGATATAGTATAAGGTGACATTGTGTTTTTGTAAGACAGAAGGTTTTTCCCATTCATATTGACATAAATCCAATAAACATGGGCCTTTCGTGCTCTCCTAGAGTAGACCACCCACCAGAAGGTTGCTGATACGCTATGCTCTTGTGGGCTCCCTACTAGAGTGGCCTCTATCTGGAGAGCACTGTCTTAGGTAGACATTGCAAATATACGTTTTGCAAGCAACCAGTATGATTCAAATTGCATTGGAAAAGCGCCATATTAGCCTATGCCAGTACAGAAAGAACCCTGGACATTCCCGAGTAAAATGATGAAACATGTTTGGAAATTGCTGAAAATTGTTTTCATTTCCATAAATTACGGAGTGAATCGTCCGTTTCTCTACAAGTCTGCCTTGGGCCTGGTTTTCAAGCGAAAAAGGATTAAGGCTGGGTAAATATATAGCGACTTCAAAGCTGGACTGCATAGCTTCTCTTGTGTTGAATGCTCAAAATTCACTGAGTAGTTGTACAATCCGTTTTCTGGTCAACTCGGTTAAACTCAGTGATAGATAACTCTTAAATTCGGGAAGCCCGGAACTTTGGGGCGCGTTCAGAAGTCCCATTAGTCTTCTCAGTAAGCGTTCAATTCTCATAGCAACTAAACCTTCTGAAAATAGAATTTTTTGAGACATTAAACGTGTTTCAGTTGGTGTCATTATTTGGCAGAGTGGACTGGTTCATATTGCTAATCACACGGCAAAACGTACATCTGAGTTACCGGAAGGAAATTCAACGCGTGAATAACCGTTTCAACTCTTGTTTGAGACCATCTTGGAGACTACTTCAAGATACGCACACCAGGTGTTGAACAAATACCTTGGCAGCATACCAGCCTCGGTGAACAGACCAAAAAATAAGCAAAGCACCCGAGATACCTATATTCCGCAGCGTCGCCATTGATGAATGTACTTGGATTATGCGGATGATATGGCTTTGTTGCCTGACGATTATTTCAGCGTGATAGCTGGAGATTACTTAATGGTTAAGGCACCAAATTACTGACCGAAACGTCCATGGTTCGAACCCAACCTCAGCATCCGGACTTCTCCTGTCTAGCCCCGGGCAACCTGATAATATCCGAGACTTCGTGCCTCCTTCGGATGGCATGGCAGTTAGGTACCGAAAAACCACTACAGAAGGACGAGAGATTTGACCGTAAAAAGCAGAATATACGACGTCGTCCCCCTATTTCGTTATGTGCTTTGCACTTTCACAATTTTGCTTCGGGATTTCCTATCGTCTTATGTTTCTTCGTAACTTCATGATAAAGAACTTTGTTAATCAAATGATAGCTGTATATACCGTGAATAAACCATAATAGACGAAGTCAGTGTGTGGGTAACGGAGACGAGGGCAACATTCACCAAACTGCATCAGTAATGGGGTCATAAGCGAATTTCGTTGAAGCTAAATGGCCATGTATATAAGGGAACTGTAAAAGCGGTCTTAATTTATTGTTGAGAAACTTGGATCTTCTAATACGAAGGACTTAGGTTGCTTCAAACTTCTGCTCGTCGTCCGTAGCATACGAACTATTAGTTGGCTGGAGCCAGTACACATAGTTGTGTGTAAGCGGGTGATTGTGTTAGCGGATCGGAATCGTTGTGGCGGCGCACCTGACTTATCAGGTTGAGCTGGTCGGGGAGTGTGTTACCACTACCTGAGAAAGTCTTGTTTTCCATTCGAAGTTACTGTATGTGAAATGTCCGCTGAGAACAGGTCATGACCATTCAATGCGAGATAAAAGCGGCTTCTGTCAAACTAAGCACCATGAGCTCTTGGTGGACCGCTAGCTGGGACCCACGTGATTCCGCTTGCATGTGGTTGTAACTCTTGGGGGACATTACAAGCAGGCGATTTCAGTCGTACGAATGTTGTCATTCTCTAGTTAGATTTCATCTATGATTTTGCTCCGAGCTAATGTCGAGCGAGATCAATTCCGCTATGGGCGCCTGATTTTAATATGATGCTCAGATTGCTACATTAGTAAATCCCAGAGGAAACACAATCAAACGTAGACAAATCGTTATGTCTCTATTTTCATCAAAGCCAGGAAACAAGACAGTCATTTGAATGATAAACGAATCTACTGATGTGGCCATGACGTGTCAGACTAGCCCGGTTCAAAGATCTGCTTCTCATTAGGCTACTTTACAATTGTGTTTCCATAAAACAACTATTTGAATTGTACTCGGCGCCCAGTATTTGTAACCCAGCTTAAAGCCATAACTTAATTACCAAATTTATGCGGAACGATGACGACCTAATCGGTTTCAAACATTTCCCAATAAACCGAAGAGCTTCTAATACCCGAGAAATACACTCATTTGCAAATCTATTTGAAGAGTTTTCAGCAACCTTGTGAGTAGTTTCCTTTACGAAGGCTTCTAATACTGTTGTGAATTGGCAAGATTTGTGCTAGCGAATTCAGTTTGACCGTCCACAAACCTCGTGTAAACTCTCTAGCTGCGACAAAGCATTCGCGTAGTGATTACACCAACTTTCTACTTGTCACCACGCGTCGGGCACTTGTGGACATATCGAAATCAATGCACGCATAAGCTTAGAGAGTTCTCTAGAGGGACTTTTGTCAATATATATACTGCGATCAAATAGAATCGTATACGATAGCATATTGGGAGGTAAAAAATCACACGTCTCACCGAAGCGGTTTGACCGTTTAAGTCGATTTAGGACACATTCGCCACTTTAATCTACTGCATTTTGCCACGGACTCCCCCAGCACATGTATCTTGCCGCACTTTGTGCACAGGAGACAGATTTCATGATTAGGTCTGTCGACATACATCCACAGATCTCCGGCGATTTGTAAGACGTTACGTTATCTTGAAGCCAAAAGCGCCATATGGTCCCGCAGTGGCGAGCGAACACACGCTAACCTATCTGCAGGCTGGTTCAACTGTCCCGTTAGCGCTCACTGCGACTGTCATCCGTCACTATATCATTTTGGCGTATCTGTTGGACCCACCATGACAAAAAACTGTCTGAAGTACAGTCTGGAGTTTCGCCATACGTTAGACTACTTCCAACGACCGATCTATGTCCAAGTGCTCTCTTAACCCCACATGTGTGGGATCGCGAGAGCGATTTACCCGCCTGGTTATGTGACAGGGACTCCGAATCTGACTAGTTGTTAGACTTGCAATTTGACTGGCACCTGCCCCATCCACTGCACTTTCCACACACGCACACAACCTGGGTGCGAAAGGGCAAGTTAGGTCAACAAAGGGAATTGGAAACATCTGTGATGATCGCTTGAAATTTCGCTATTTTCCTAATTATTCGTCTCCAGTATTTCGTCCAAATTTCATCCTAATTAGCACACAGGCTTGCGGATGTTGAGGAATTTAGTGGGTTGCATCCGAAATGATTTAGTGGTCCGGTGGATGAAGCCATCATTAGTTTGCGAATCACAAAGCAGTTTATCAAGATGTGAATAAGTGATTCACCTACTACGAGGGGGTGCTGAAAAGTTCTCAGATTGGCTTAGAAGAAACTGTTCTGAAATTTCCAGGCTATCCCATGAGTTGTTTTCACAGTTCAACCCAACTGGCACCTCTTTTCCGTAGTTTCTCTAACCTGTCAAAAAAAACTCCTGATTCGATCGCTGAATTCCTTGTTCCGCCACTGCAGTCGGCAGCGCATTAGTAGAAAGTTGCGGCCCTTCAAAAATTTCTTTAGGGTTTATAAATCTGAAGCTAGTCAGATGTGGTAAGATCTGGTGAGTGCTGATTGTTCTATGTAATCAAACCCTTACCTGAAGGAAACTACTTACAAGGGTGCTGAAAACTCCTCGACAGCTCAAGACCTGGGATCATCAGATAGGCGCAGTCCCCGAGTTTTCGTCAAAATTATGTTCTACTTGAACCCAAATTGAACTGTTTTCAAGAAATACACTCAGTTGCAGATCAATTTGGTTTCTCGAAAATGGTCCAGTTTGGGTTCAAGTAGAGCATTAGGTTGACGGAAACTTGGGGACTGCACCTTCCCGATGAGCCCCATGAAGGGCGAAACCGGTCGTGGGCTATCGATGAGTTTTCAGCAACCTTGTGAGTAGTTTCCTTTATGAAAATATACTGCGATATCTCGAATATCGTGCCAACTGAAACATGGAGAGGCTTGGGTGCAACACATTCAGTTGTAGAATATCATAAACGAGAGATTCAGTTGAGTCTCTCGTGAAAGCCAAATTGATTTGCAAACGATTGTATTTCTTGGAATCCCTTACCTGGTTTCATGAGCTGTATGCGCAGAGTCTTGAAGAAGTTGAACCTCTTTTCGACATTTCCATCTTCCCCGTTTCTTTGGTACCTACTCTGATCGATTCATCAACTTACGTTGACAGTTTTCATTTGCATCTTGATCCTTTAGAAAGTGATCATTGGTCGTCACGACACCATTCTGCCCCCGAACCCTCTGACTATGACATTTCTTGCTGGCTCTTGTGTCTTGGGGAAACTGATAATCGCTATTGCGTTGAATGTTTTCTGGTTCAGGGACCGTGGTATTATGATTATGCTTCATCCGTAGAAATTAATGGTTTCGAAGCGCTAACAACGCATCTCTGGAAATGCTGTAAAATGGAACTGGAAGTGTTCACTCGATGTTGTTCGTTGCTTGCATTCAAACAATCGGCTACTCAACTGATTGAGAGATTTTGCATGGATTATGAACCCAACACATCCCCTGGATAATTCAAGTTGTTCTGCTATGGTTTTTATGGATAAACTCTTGCCTACAGTGGTGCACTTTCTGTCTGTACATCGCCCCGGTGAAGGTTAGCGTGTCGTATTTTGACAGGTATGACTGGCACTTGCCTCTCAGTGTGTGCACTCCATATTCATGAATTTATTTTGCCAGTTTGTCCTGCAAATGGAGTGTTGTGATTTTGTGGTCTGGTACTTGCGATCATAAATGAGCACTACTGCGGCTAACTTTCAAAAGCTATTTCGAGATTTCTTCCGTATCCCCCCGTCGTTTCAGTAGCATTTACTCTACACACGCTATAGGGTGGTCACCTGGAGCAAGCAGACGTCGAATGAAGAGGTACATTTACATATCAGCTGATATTCTCCATTCTCAATCAGTCCGGATGACCTCATCTTCGGTACAAACTGAGTACACTTCGTGATGGTTGTATCTACCTGATTTGTCCACTCACATTGGACCTGGTTATGATTTTTGTTCACACCACACAGGCAGTGGCCCTGAGCACTGTGGCGTCAATCCAAATGTTGCTGCCACAAATGGCTGCTTAAAGAATGAGCACTCCGCTCCGACGACACATGGGTGTCAAATCAGGCAAGATTTAGTTCGACCCAACTAGTGATAGTGCACACAAGAAAAACTAACAAGTCTGTGAAATCGGCGTGGGAACATCTGCTCCAGGTGTGACCGACAACTGTGCACGGCAAGAGATCATATCTTATAGAAAGCGATAGGAATATCTATCGGTGGGCTGACAGCGGTTGATTGATTTAAAATACAATATTACTAGGAAACAGTGAACGTAGTCTCTTATCATAATATTCAGTGGAAATGTTTCTGGGCTTTCAGCGAACCGTGTGAGCAGCCTTGATAAAAACCCACTGAATAATGCCCCTTTGAATATTCTTAAACTTTCTGTCCTCAAGGAATCCTAGATGAACTGACGTAGGTCAATTCATGAAAGGAACCATATGGAATGTCGGTCGTTATAAAAAAATATAATGTTTAACACCTAGCTTAAGGGAACAGCGCTGTTTGATGGTACAGTCAGGTATATATTTGTTCAGACACTTAGTCCCTTTGGTGTGGACCCACCGGAATAATTACGTCAGAACAGGAGGACAACCGTTCGAACGGGAGTGGTGCGACTACGAACAAAAAAAATACCTATCCCGGAAAACTCCAAAACTGCAACTAAAAGTTGCCCAGTGGGTTTCAAGCTTGTGTCATGGTACCTGACTAGGAAGTCCTGACTGACGGCTCAATCGATCGTCACAACCAGGACAATTACTGGCTCGTCGTTCGATGGGTCGGGCACTTAGTCAACAAACCACTGACCGCACAGGACTGCAAGATGGATCTTGATGAATGATTGGCTTCCTAATTTCATGCTGACATACGCTAGCCTCAGCCATGGATGTTAAGCTTTGATTGTGTATATGCATTCTGAAAAGTGGTAAAGAAACCACGTATAACGCGACGACACTGATAGAAAATAATCGACCATTTTTCAGGAAACAACCCTTGGAAACACATTTGCATAACAATTTGGTTTTGAGAGGAGACTCACCTGAAAGCAATTTGAATCTCTGGTTTATGATATTCTTCAACTGAATTCGCTGCACCAGGCTGCCTCGTGATTCAGTTGGCACGATATTCGAGACATCGTAATACGTCGTATAGCCGTAATACGCTATTCACAATAACGTCATAAATGAGGAATTCAGCTGGGTTCCAACCGAGCACCTCATGAGTACCAAACTGGTGTGCAGGTGAGTGTATTATTCAAATTTCATGCAACTTGAATTCAGCCACCTGATGGCAATCGGATAGGCCGATTTGAAATTCGATGAACCACGAGACTACGAAAGTCCGGACGTTTGTATTCATCGAACGATAGCTCTAGCTTGCATTCACTAATTTCGCACAAGCAGGTTTAAGCCGCATATTCAAAAACATGCTTTGAAACCACTGAGTGTGCATTGGCTGATTCGTGTGTGGTTTATCGATCGATTTTGAAGATGATGCATCTCTAATTAACCTGGCACTAGCGGTAACAACCTCGAGGTTTAGACTAACAATGGTATGGTAACGAATGAAGTGGAGATAAATATTTCTTCGACTGCTGCATCATCTACCTTGAAATATGGTTAGTTTATTCGCGAAACACTACTCATAAAGTTGTCGAAAACTCTTTGAAAGCCCACAACTGGTTTCGTTCTTCTTGAGGCTCGTATTTAGTCTGGACTTTTCTTAATGACGCTTCACATTGCTTTAGCATGAGGGGTAACGTTTTAGGGGTCCTATGCTTTAATAAAAAAACATGGCACCGGTTGTCCTACCCGAGGTATTTTTGAAAGTTGAACATTTCCGTATGGAGAACAGTGGACGAAATCAAGATAAAATGGTAACCTAGGAGTGTTCTGTGTGACTTACTTAGATCCATTACAATTCTGAGCGATCTTCATAAGGAACGGTGGAATTGGACGAAATGTTGTCGCGCCAGAAGAAACCTGTATAGAAGGAGCACACTACTCATGACGTTGTTGGAGTCCCTTCGAAAGTGAAAAATGAGGCGGTCTTGTGTAGCTCGTTCAGTCGAAGCAGAACATCTTTAAACGAGAGATTCGGCTGAGCCTCCTGGTAAAACCAAACTGGCAGACAATTAGGTATTTCTCGAATCGTATTCACTTTGTATTCAAATAGAACATGTAGTTGACGGAAACTCTGGGACTGTGTCTACCTGATGAACCCCAGAGAAGCGAAACCGCTTGTGAGCTGTCAGAGTTTTCAGCAACCTTCTGAGTAGTGTGTTCCGTCCAGATAGCGTATTACGATATTTCCGATTTCATGAGGCTGCCTTTGGACAGCACAATCAGTTAAAGCAGAACACACCATAAACAAGGTTTTAAGCTGGGTGCGTCTCCCGTCACAAATCAATAGATATGCGATTGGGTGTATTTTGCGAGTGACCAGTGCTAATTATTCATGATCCTTTGAAAGAATAGGCATCCTTATCCTGTCTGGCTACCTACCACGGTCACAAAAGTGAACTTCTCTGTGCCTCCTTGTGGAAAGTCTACGCGCCGCTAGACCGAATTTTGGTAAGTGGATACTGATGCTCCAAGTAATATGGCACCACTACTCGAGGGCATTTTAGGCATGAATTTTTCTACTCATATCATGACCATAGAATGCACCTCAATCATTATTGAGATGAGGCGTCCAGCGATCAGTTTATCGGTATATAAGTAGACTTATCTACACCGTAATATATTCAGTAGTTCATCTCTTCTCACAGCGTTTTTAGTGCCACCGATAGTACGAGAATATTTATTGTTGTCATCGATAGCCAGACTCAAAAGCCAAAATCTACTTCGTTTTCTTAACATATTTGATCAAGTGAACGATACCGTCAGTGCGATCAATAATAATCGGGCAACTAAACACAGGTGAATTTAGAGCAATCAAATCTAGATCACGTGAGCATCAATATCGACCGATAAAGTTCATTTAGCGACATGTTAGAGAGGATCCGAGTGATGAAAATAACTTGAGATGCTTCAATGAAATTAGACCTATTTGAATAATAGGTACAGAGTTAACACAATTGCAAGATCAGACGTTATCTGTGGTTTGTTTGTCACAGTGCGGGTTAAACGTTTGTCGATCGATACTTACCCCGAGACTCGTGATTGGAGGAACCAAATGATGAAATAATCGTCGGTGGGGTTACGACGTATAACCTAGTAAGTGCACAAGTGCCCATCTCAGAAACAACCACAAAAGATGTAGATGGAAACCAGGACACAGATGCAGCAGAGGGTCGCCCACTTACATTCAAACGATATTCCCACAGGTTTGAGCCTGGAAGCACTAATGAGCTAGACACGTGGCGCCACTCTAGTTAGATTCAGTCCAACCGCACAAAAATGAAAACTCGGAAAGAATACTGGGATAGTCTACAGTATTGTTGTCAGGCTACAAATACGAGCATTTAATTTGGGGCTCTACAAATGATCAGCACATCGGAAAACATTTCAGCCTTGAATTACAGGATCTTGGATAGGGAGCCGTATCACACCACAGGCAGAGCAAAGTAATTTCGTTTCCTGTGAGCAGTCAACCTGAAATGGTGTCGCGGTGATCCTACCAGCTGGAATCTTTCGGACCCAGTCCCTCGAAGTCAAATCATGTCAGAAAGTCCAACGGAAGCAGAGTCTGACAGAGGCGACTTATCATTAGAAAACTTTCGCTGTTTGTGAGAACAGTCAGGCGCTTTCTCTGGACAGCAGTATCGCCATACTCATTGGAACGACCATGCTGACTTCTCCCGAACTAGGATGAAGAAGAAGAGCCTGGCACACTGTGATTGCCCAATGGTTGGCAGTGACCGTTGGTGCATTATCTAATATGGTTGGACTGTCGAAAAATCAAGAGTTTAGTGCTGCTTAAAAGACACTTGTTGTGCGTGGTATCACTGGAAGTTGGAAATCTATGCTCTACATTCTGCTACTTCGCTTTGAATCGATTCTCCAGTGCCTTCTGGGTCAGGCCTTGAGGTGAAGGGCTGGGGAAGACGTATCCGGAACGCTCTCATACTTTCAGCCTCAGCAGGAAGATGGACTTTTCTCGCAGCCCACACCTCCAGCGTACAGATACGTCATGGATAGCGTGAAGGAAAGAAAGAAAACGCGTTCACCAAATGCACTCATTTGACTACCGATTCAACGTATGTTGTGGAGTTTGCGGTTGACGCCTCGACGCACAATGCATTTTACTGCAAAACCCCTGCGGGTCAAATAAAAACTTTAACGTCAAAATGTTGCACTTCTTTGCATATATGCTCAGTCTAAAAATCCCCCTCATCTGCAGTCATTTTTTTGGCGATTTGTTTTAATCAATCTCTTTTGAAAATTATTGGCGCACATTCGGCTTTTAACTTCGTGTGCTACGGCTTCGGAAGTGGCTTTTGTTTTGTGGGTGTATCCTTTCCATCCTTCACGGCACTTGAGAAGGTCTTAAGTCAATACATGAAAGATAACTTTGTGGTATTTGTGCGTTCATCCAGTAATCGAAGCAACAACGCTATTTTGCGTTACGAATGGGTGTACTACAAATGCAGCAGGCGCCCTCCAAGACCAACGGAAAGCCGTGGAATCCGAAGAAGCTAGTAAGCCAAGCGTGTTTTCTAGTAAACAAAGTACGCGAAGCACCAGCTGTCCAGTGCGGTTTTGTCTACGGAGGCAAAGGAACCAACTGGTAGTGACCTCTTATTTCTGGAACACAACCACACTGTCAAAGTTTCTGTACGATCGGCTTCTAGTCAATCGACGCTTAAGGGAAGACGAGTTGGGCATATGCAAGGCCCTGCTGAAATATGGAACGCCGTCATCTCAGGTGCGGCAGTTTGTGGCGGATGAATTCGGCAAGATTCTTACCACTAAGGATATACACAACTACCACCGGAAGTGTCGACCGGCTATGTTGAGTAGGTGCCGCATGGTTGGGTTTTAATGTAGCAGATGATATGCTCTCGGTCCTGGCAAAAATTCGGGAGACCGGACGCGT